TGTTGCTCGACCCGGAACCAACTGAATTGGAGCCTGGAGGAAGGCGTCTCGAGGGTTGACTCCGCTCCAGACATGATGAATCCCTTGAAAGATCATGCTCTGATACCATGTAAAATAACGATAACACGGAATGACAAAGACACAATAACACCGGGTTTTACGTGGTATCCTCGTTTGTGATTGAACGAGACTAATCCACGGTGAACTTGAAGAACCTTACGGTTGATCTTTTATTTCAGTGACTTGATTGTGGCTGATGACCTTACAATATCTTATATACCATGTAGGGGTGTACATGGGTCGGTTGGTTCGGGTTTAACCATTTTAATCACCCGACCCATGCACTACGGTTTGGGAATTATCAAACCCAAACCCACCCAAAAATATTTAAACCCTACGGTTTGTTTCTAATTGGGTTGGGTCGGGTTGACGATATTTTTAAGTAAAAATCCAACCCATCATAAAAATATATAATTATTATACATCATAAAAATATTTTATAAGTAATTAAAATTTCAAACAGAATAAACCGAGGTGAAAGGTATAAAAAATTCACAAATGTTATTAGAATTTTAATAAAATGTGATTTACTTCAACATATGTCTAGTTTTTTTCATGATATTTGTTGAAATAGGCAAAAAAGGTTATAAACAAACGCATCCATAATATATTATTCTATTAAAATTGTACACAAGAAAAAGGATTATGTGAATCATAACTATATTCAATTTATGTCTAAACTTTAAGTCGAAGAATGCATTAGATTAGGGAGACCATGATAGGAAAACATGGCGAAATATCTTAATTTTCTCACAAGTATGGCTATATACGACATAAATATTTTTAGATACGAACTCATACTAATAGTTGGAACACGGGTTGGGTCGGGTTCTACGGGTTGTGTAATCCAAAATCCAAACCCAACCCAAAAGAGGCGGGTTATACAAAAGAAAACCCTCACCCAACCCAAAACCTTCGTTTTAGCGATAAATACGGGTGGGTTGGGTCAGATTAGAAGGGGGGATCGATTTGCGGGTGTGTTTGTTCACCCCTAATACCATGTGCAACTTGCTCCTAGGGCATTACAAATCGGACAAGCATAAGGAATCCTATCATGAGAAGTATTCCAGGATAGGATAGCGTGACAACCCCTAAGGGGTTTTCAATCTCGCTTCCCACTTTATAGCCGTCCATCCTCCTTCTTTATCCAACGGCCAGGAGTGCATGAAGGGTGTTTTAGTAAGTAGCTAAATGAAATAATTTTGAAATAAAACTTAAAAGCATGGAGAAAATCTGGGAGCGTGATTGGTGGGAGCTGAACAACCGATTTTGGGTGGGACTCTTTCCCTTCCATTTCTGACTCCTCCCTCATCAAACCATACCACAATACCTCCGAAAAATACAATCCACGCGGCCGCCGCCATACAATGGACGACTACATCACAACGACGACGACAGGTGGGAGCTGAACCTACGTGTTTATTTGGGTTCGATCTGAACATCCCATTAACAAAAAGGATATATAAGAGGCCGGAGCAGACCAGACGGACCCGACGGACAAAGGTGACGATGTGTGCATGGTGGATGTTGGCGACGTTTTGGAAGTGGAGGAGCTGGTGAACGAATATCATCCGGAACCTCGGACCACGTCCAATATTGCCTCGATGTGGAGAAGAACGACCATTTCGTGTTGCACTCACGAGATCGCGTTGATGCCGACGACGGCGGGGCGGAGAATAGCGTCGATGCCAACAATGGTGGTAGGGTTAACCCCTAAGCCGTTACGAATTCCTTTCCATTTTAGTGTTTTACTATCGGTACAGTTAAGGTTTCAAAAAAAATGTACCATTAGTTATGTTTCAAGTTAGGTAGTGGTAGTATTATTGTAGGGATAGTCACCTAGTGGTAGTCCCCTAGTGGCAGGCCCCTAGTGGTACTCATTTAGTGGTGGACACGTAGTCATCTAGTGGTAGTTATTTAGTCGTAGTTAATTAGTGTTACTTCGTAGTGGTAGTAGGATACGGGTAAGAGGGTAAATAATGTGACTTGCTAATATCACTAAAGGTATACCAACAATAGTCATTTACATTGGTACCAATACCATTACAGTGGAGACATTACCATTAAAATTGTACCGGTAAAACTCAATTGGTACCCGTCTATTAATGGTACCATTAAAACTCAATTGGTATTAGTAATGGTACATGTACCACCGATTTGGTACCAGTTTTCAGTAATTGTTACCAATACCATTAATTTGGTACCATTCTTATTAATGTAACTAGTACCACTGATTATGTACCAGTCTTAGTAATGGTTACACGTAGCATTAATTGGTACCAATCTTATTAATGGTACGAGTACCACTGATTTGGTACCAGTCTTATTACTGGTTACCAGTGGCATAAATTTGGTATCAGTACTATTGATTTGGTACCAGTACCATTGATTTGGTACCAGTGAAGGGATATTTCTATAGTCAGTGGAGAAGGTACTAAATTTTCACAATCAAACACCTAACCAATTGTGCCAATATAAGCAACAGTACTTTACCCAAGATCAAATTAAAGACAAGAAATACCCATAAACTTCTTCATACTTGGAAACGTACATGAAGCAATTATGCTACTCTTTAAATCCAACACACAACCTAGCCCAACCTTCTTCTCATCCGAAATACCGGCCTCCATAATCTCGATGATTGAAGTCGGACTGCACTTCTTCTTGAAGGTGCTTTGACTTGACGCTACAGTCTGTTGCTTCTTCTTCTTGTTGCGACTCTTTGTTTCCTCATCACGTGGTCATTTTTTACTAGGCCCGACACGCGAATCACTTGAGTCCCCCAAGCGTATTGTTACCTGTCGAGATGCACAACCATCAGGTTGTGTGTTTTCCCGGATGATATAGCTGAGATCTTTGTTCTGCCATTCCTGCAACAACAACAAAAAAATGCTTGGTACAAATTTTTACTCAAAACTTCAAGAGGGTTATCTTCTCACTGAGATCCACACTTCTAACATGATATCACTACAAGTACTGCTACTACTACTACTAGCAATGTAGAATGTTATTGTACAATACTACTACTAACAATCTAGAATGTTATTGGTACCAATTAGTATGTAATGGTTACCCTTCAGTGGCACTACTTCAAATCAATTGGTACCAGTTCCACTACAGATAGAACAAGTTGTGTCATTCCATTAAACTACCACTATTAGCATACCACTGTCATTGGTACCAGTAACACAATTACCATTACAACTGGTACCAATAGAAAACTACCATTCAATCATACCGAAACGAATACCATTCCATTAAACCACCACTATTAGCATATCAATGTTATGGGTACCAGTAACACAACTACCACTAGCACTATACGAATTTAAGACTACCAATGGATCATACCAACACCAAACAAACACACCACCCAAGAAACGAATACATCTGGTAACACAATTACCATTACAACTGGTACCAATAGAAAACTACCATTCAATCATACCGAAACGAATACAACGGTACCTGAAGCACCCATAAGTGGTACTTGTACCAATAAGTGCGTACTAGTATCAATTCATTGTTACTGGTACAAATCAATTGGTATTACTATCACTACAACTAGAACAAGTTATACCATTCCATTAAACCACCACTATTAGCATATCAATGTTATGGGTACCAGTAACACAACTACCACTAGTACTATACGAATTTAAGACTACCAATGGATCATACCAATACCAAAAAAACACACCACCCAAGAAAGATAGGCATGCATGTGGCTTATTCCAACGTTGCATTCGGAAAACAAAAGCAGTAGTGTAAAGAAACCTCACCGGCGATTGTTTGCACGGCCGCAGAAAGGAACGATGACGAAAGGATGTTCGCCTATGCGCTTAACCAGAAGGAGAAAAAATTAGTTAGGATAACCAGAAGTGAATAGAAAAAGAAGAAGAAGTGGAGAGGAGCGACAGAGCCGACGAATCGGGGCGGGAAAGCAAGCATAAAAGGAGACTGAATGAAAATTACATTGTAAAAGTTTTGCTTTTACCTGAATTACCTATGCTTTGAAAAACAAAGTCTTCGCAATCGAACGGGACCGGATGAGTTGCTATCAATAAAAGCGGAGAAAAATGATCTGAGACGGTGAAAGGGGATGCTTTAGGAGAAGACGGAGTAAAAGGGTTTCAGTGGAGTAACGTACAGGCTGTTTTGGGGAGACGAATGGTTCGCCGGGGAGGGTGGCTAATTTCTCTTCCCCGCCGATTTCTTTGCCTTTTTAAAATGCGGCTGACGTTAGAGAACTAATAGGAGCCGGATCCAGTGTGGGAGCTCTCTTTTTTGCCCCTGCCTATCATCAACCGTCGGATGGAGATATAAGGGGATGGAGGGCTAGGAAGGGGGAAGCGAGATTGACAACCCCTTTAAGGGTTGTCACGCTATTCGGCCTCATCCTAATGTGAGATGTCTTGGGCTTATTTGTGGGCTCCTCCCGTGACAGCTGCAAGATGGGCTTGGTCACCGGGCTGGCGGGCTCAACTCCTTTAATTTTATTTACAAATGAATAGCATTAATAATTTATTCTTTTTAATTGCTAACATTTTTATATTATTATTGGCCATAAATTTTAACCTAGTATATTATTGTTTGCCATAAAGTTTTAGATTATCAGTCGGTTAATCGCTTGGGAATTCTAATTACTATTTTAGAACGAATAAATTGATAAATAAAATACTTATGAACTAATTACCCATAATATCACCAACCACGAGTACCACCAATATTACTTTCAAAACATGTTGAGACTATATATAGTTTAGATCATTCAAAATATAGATATTACATAAATAATACAAAATAAATCGAAATTCATCCGACCAACGAGTCAGGTAAAAGTTAGTTATATAATATACCAAAATCGAATATTTACAACATATGCATCCAATATCATGTTGTTAATGAGATAACTACTTCTCATTGTGAAGCACAATAACAGGCTCAAAAGTCAACCTTTAACAATTGCCAAGAGTACTAGTCAAATTATACATCTTATCAAGAAATACATCGCTGTCTATATACGTAACTGATGCTATGTCGGATATGTTACAAAGCTCCAAAATACAATAGTTTCGATCAAATTTGCTAACAATAACATTACCCAGAAAATGGGAGAGTGACAGACCCTGGGGAAGCCTTCTTAAACCTTTAACTAATAACAAGCCAGCATCTATTCTATTTCCAAGGCCTACTCTACCGGCTGGTGACCGACACTTCCCCGGACCCAAAACTTACACTTCATCTTTCGTATTCACGTACATCAAGTTCTCTTTCTTTCTCTGTATCAAGCTTAACAACAACGCTTCCATGACTACAACAAATGTGTATTACACCTTGTCCACATGAGCGTTGTTGAGCTTATTACAGATATCAGCATATTTTGACAAGTCTTGGAGAGCACATTCGCATAAACCACCTGCTTCTGCTATGGTCTCGCGCTCTTGAATCAGCTCTTCTCTTGTTTCCCATTGACACCGAGCTCTTGAAACTCCGTTCAGGGCTCAATGGCTCTGTCGATGAGTCCACCACCCGGCTCACCATTTCCAGCACCTCACTCATCTTCGGACGTGCCTTTGGGTTTCTGACCAAACACTTGTTTGCTATGTTCGCAAGCTTCTGGGCGGACCTTAGCCGGAATCTCCCCTCCAGCCTAGGGTCCAAAATATGTGGGAACCTCTTCTCTGATAGGTACGGCTTCACCCACTCCAAGAGCTTTTGCTCGTTCTTAGGCCGGTTTCGGTCAAGGGGCTGCCTACCTGTGAGGAGTTCATAGAGGAAGACACCATAACTCCACACATCGCTTTTGGATGTGAGGCGTCCCGTTTGGATGTACTCAGGAGCTGCATATCCCATCGTACCAACAACCTGATACAAACAGTATTATCGATTGGGCATCAGAAGTCATTTAGTCACAATGTATTCTGGACGTGTGGTATGCATGTATTCTCAGAATGCAGGGTTAAGTTTGAAAGGATTGTTAGAAGAGATTGTCGGCGCACCAAAACCATGTACTCTGAAAAATTTTAGGGGGTTACAAAAGATTTCCAGAAGACGTGAATTCATGTATTTTGCAAGTGCATGGGTCTTGAAATGAACAATTTTCATATCTAACTTAGACAAGGAATAGTGATATTTAGTTAGAATTCATGCGTTCACAAAATCAATTAGAAAAATACATGGTTAACGAATGATCAAAAGCATTATCCTAGGAAATCTTGGGTGAAAAAGTTTCAATATAAGGGGTGTTGAACGAAATGGTCTGATCTACATGCAAGGAATTTCAACGCTGAACTTTGTATCTATTTACCGCTGTCGAGACATGAGTTAAGCCTTCATCTGGGCCAAGCCTTGCCAACCCAAAATCCGATAATTTGGCATTCCACTGCTCATCGAGAAGGATATTTGAAGATTTGAAGTCTCTGAAGATGATCTAAGTAGAGATAGAACGCACAAGGAAAGAGGGATCGTTATCTTCACGATAGCGTTCTTTTATAGTAGTTTTCTATGTAAGAGATTGTAAATGAATTAACTTGAACTGTACATCTATGCAAACTGCAATGAGAAAAGATAGATACCTGGAAGTCCATTTCTTCATGAAGGTATGTTAAGCCACGAGCAGCATCTTGTGCAACTCGTAGTCTCATGTTCCACGGTAGAGCTGTTTCAGACCGACTGGACAAATGGTCCTCCACGCTTCCATTAGGCATAAATTCATATATGAGAAGACGCTGGATTCCCCGTTCATCATCATCAGCACAATATCCAACTAACTTCACAAGGTTCGGATGCTCGACCACCCCGAGAACATTGACCTCTGTGACCCATTGTTTATGCCCCTGTGAACCACTGACAAGATGAGACCATAGAAACTAATTTATGTACTAAGTCAAGATAGACTATCGAACGAGAACTCAGTAACGAGGGACCCTCGGAAACAAGGTCAATCTAAAGTAGCCCAAATCTAAAACAGATATATATGCCTTATCCCACTTCCATAGCTAAACTACCATGTTAAGTCTCGATACAACAAGGAGTCTCCACATTCTTGTAGGCAATCCATACTTTATAGGTTGGGGGAAATTAGCAAGTAGCAACAAGTGAATGCTTCCCTTGAAGGACGGACAGGAAATACTTGATCAATTGTATTAAACTGAAAGAGTTGCATGAAACTAAATACAATCACTCATTCAAATGGACTACAAAGACTGGCTGACAGAATAGGCATACCTCATGGGAAAATTTGCAACAATAAATACACCCTTAAACAGACTAGTAAATGAAGGAAGGGACACACTTCCAAAGGTGAAAAGGACTTGCCTGAGTTCCCCGTTTACCAAGCTGTTTCACAGCAACTTCGATCTTTTTGGTTGGTTCCTCAGTGCTCTTTATTGAGCCTCTGTAGACGCATCCAAATCCCCCCTCTCCAACCATAACAGAGCGACTGAAGTTCCTGGTGGCGGCCTTGAGTTCAGAAACTGTGAACACTCTCATATTACTGGGTCTCTGGGACAAACTAGGGTAGCTAGGCCTCGCCATAGATTCTACACTAGTAGTTGATATATTTTGAGAATTCAACTCAGACCCAGATCTCCCAACTTCACGGTCAGTACAATTAGAGTTCATTGACATAACTGATGCAGAGTTTGTGGTCTTCAATTCAAGCTTCCTGTCTCCAATGTAGAATGAAAAGCACTTCATAGCCCTGACACATACACATATAATATTATCTGTCACAAGGAGATCTAACAACTGAAAGCCACTTCATACTTCATATAACGAGGTTCGTCTAAAAGATTCAGATGATCAAGCAGAAGGAATGACAACAAAAGCGGGTGAAAAAAACCAGAAATGCTTGCGAATCACGATAATACATTCAACAGCAGGTGATTGTCTCTCAAGACCCGAAGTGTTCCTGAAGCTCATATTACCAGACCATAGCTTGGATTGTACCCTTTTTTTTTCTCTCCACCTCCATAGGAAGAATGGAGAACCACTAGGAATACACGTAAATAAGGACAAAACCTAGCAAATTGATTCTCTATAAAACGCTCGAAGCAAGTTAATTGTCAGCAGCTCAAACAGCAGAGCACGAACAATTACTCCAGGAGGTAAAACCATTATAACCTCACCCACAAAAAAAAAAAGAGAGAGAGAGAGAAAGGAACTAGCTAGTTAATCAATCTACTTTGTTTCATTCAACCCTTTCGTCGCCACCTATAGGCCAATTCGGTATCTACTTGCTTTCTCTCAAATCCGAAAAGGTGTAGAGAAGAGGAAGTCTCCGAGAGTAACCCAAAATTCAAGCCAAAACTGTCAGATTTCCATCAGAATCTACTTTCCGATTCATCGCCAACGCAAAACTAGCCATGGAATGGAACCCACAGCAAGACGTAAAGAGACAAGCAGGGAAAAAGCATGAGAACTCACACCCTTTCGTTTCGATTGTGCACAGCAGGAGGGGTTTGCAGACGCAGCAAAAACTTCTTCTTCAAGTCATGGAACTTGACGGAAGGAAATAGAAAAGACAGCGATTTGATCCCTGTGCCCGCCCCGGATAGACCTCCAACAACAGAGAAGAGAAGAGAAGACTTGGGTGGGAGTTGGGAAGCAGTGGGATGATCTCTTTCGGAGAAGGCTGCCCCCGGGAGATGGAAGTCAAAGCACACCAACCAAAAATAAATAACGCACTCATCAAAACTATTGAATAATATTAAAAATATAATATCTGTAGTTATACGAATGGCGAGTGTCGTCGCGTGCGTCAAAATGGCGTTTGAGTCCACAGTCACGCAGGAACCTTCGCTTCTTGTTCCGGTCCTCGCTAAAGTCTTGGAGGATGGGGCCACGCCACACAGAATGAAGCTGCCCTCTCGGCTCTCTCACGGTCTCACCTTATGAATAGGAGTGGAAATTGGGGTGGGTGTGTCGTCACCGGTCTTAAGTACTCGTACGATCACACTAACAAATTTAGAATTATGTTACTTACAACTCACATTGTAGTGGTTAGTGGATAATCATTATCTACTGTGGGTTGGGTGTGGTTACCCGCAAAAAATTTATTTTTGTAAGCATAAAGTTGATGTTGTTGCTAACGAATTTGTTGTTCGTAGCTAGACTATAGGGATATACAATTGGGTTGTTCGTGGAGATACAATTTTGTATATCGATCTTACTCAACGTGGAGGGATTTTCTTTTCGAGTTTGATATTCAACTTTTGTGTCTGGGAGCTGCGATTTCATATCTCACCGACTAGGGGTGGAATATGATAATTAAATATGATTTTTTTATTTTATTTCACACAAAAACAAAAACATACAGATAAAAGTTACTAAACATGTCCACTTTAATGAATCGATTATTCCCCACTCTCTCGATTATAGTGTTTTATAAACTAAAAATATCTCACATAAAACTGATTAGGTGCACATTTGTTTTTTGTGGCTACTTTAATTTGTAGCCTCCTACTTTTTACATACTATTATATTATAAAGTTAATTCAATAAATAAATATAATTAATGCGGTTATTGTGGATTTGGTGGGTGGATCGCGGTGGGTAGCGGGTAACCACTAACCACAAAAATCATTATTTTACTACCCACACCAAACCCACTACCCACAATTTGTGGGTATGGTTACCCAAAATGGATGCGGGTTGGTGCGATCACGGTTTGGGGGTGATTTTCACGGCTGGGAGACCGTGACAATAAGACAGCCTGTGACTTTTGACTGTTCTTCACTTTTTGGCTCTTTTCGACCTCCAATCATCCTGAAACTCGTCCCAGACCTTCCCACATGTACTAGGACCTGAAATGTGACAAACGAAGCACAACCTAGCGTAAAATAGGTCGAGGGACGGGACGATGATATACCAAGTCAAACGGATAAGAAATAAGGGGTAAAATGTGTACAATTGGACCCGAATCACACCTCCACACTTGAACGTTTGCTTGTCTCCAAGCAAACCAAGTACAAAACAAGGTAAGCTTACAACTTCTTTTTAAACAAAAGTTTTGGGGCATGTCATAGGGCACAAAACAAATGAATCTCGATGGCCATTAGACATCAATACATGAACAACAACAACAACAACAATCATAGTAACCACCACAAATGACATTTGAATGCAATATAACCATGGAAAGGAAGAGTTCTCATATTGTTCGTAAAACCAAAACATAACATGTAATGACGACTCACCAATCATAGTTAACCATGCATAAAGATCATGTCATAGGAACGAATGAGCGAGCAAACTAGGTCCTCATCGGGATACATGATCAGAACAAGGCATGAGGAATGAATCACTCACTCTCGACCAGTGGGGTCAGAACCATTTTGATGCAAAATATGTGCATACTCAAACACTTATCCCTATCGTCTCTTCACCATGACGATAACCTCTAAATGTTAGAGTTCACAAGATGGTTGTCATCATCAGCTTGTATGGAGGCCTTAGACATGGGTTCGAATGACTCGCTAGGGTGTAGGACATGGGGAAAATGCTTTTTGGGTGATGGCAAACATAGCATGAGATTACACATCTTCAACCTAAAACCAACACAAGATTCTATTGTTTCGACAAGAACCCTCTTCTACAAGAAATGACCACTAACATCGGCCAAAAACCACACTTCCCACAATTTCAAACCACAACTAATCACCAAACCATTCACAACAAACTTTTTTGCCTGCGCTTGCTATCAAACTTTTCAAGCACTAGAGTGAAGGAGGTAAACAATCATGCATGTACGTGTTTCTAAGCCTGACTGCTAAGAAACACATTTTTAGAGCATATACGAATTTTGGTGGCAGCTCTCCTTTCTCCTGACCCTCTTTATTTCTATTTTTTCCTCTCTTTTTTCTTTCTTTTATTTCCTTGAGGGCTAGTAGAGTGCTAAACATGCTACATTCTTTAAACTTTATAACCAATGCTCACTTCTTAAGAACTACCTCCAACACTCACTTTCATTCTTAGCAAATCCATGCACAAATCACTCATGTGAAACCTCAATTAAGCTCAAATGATATGATGGGAGATTCCAAACACAAGGGTGACTCGAAAATGGTGTAGACTCGAAAAAAGTAGAGTCGCTCTATCTATCTCAATCAAGCTCAAGTAGCAAGAGCTACCTAACACGAGAGCGAACCTAAGACACACGGCTTAAAAGGGTTGACTAGGGGATAATTCAATCGGGACAAGTCAAATTTTGGGTCATGGACTAAACCTATGCCTCCATCTTTCTTACTAGTGACAACGTGAATGCTACTCGTCATGGTAAGAGGGATCTATCACACAAGAATAAAACAAGCGACACAAGTCTCACATGGCTACCTAGATGCTCAATCATTCATTCCAATTTCAAAAAAAAAAAAACGATGCATGGAAATTGTGATCAATGAGTAATCAATCCAAAACATCCATTGGTTTGCAAACACATGAGAACTGAACATTTACACAACCCTAATGCATATCTCTGTCATCATCATAGGTTGTTCTCAATCACAAACAAGTCATCCATACATCAATACTAATAGCCATGATATTCTAACCAAATCACCAAAGGTGCCACTATGATCATGCAAATGCAGAAGTTGCTATGCTTGGAGCCCACAATTTTTTTTAATTTGGGCGAACAACTAAGCTCCAAGCACTTGAAATCTCACCAAACATTCACACACACAAGCATAATAGACTATCCCCCCCACACTTAAGCTCGACATTGCCCTCAATGGCGTAAAATAAGAAGGTAGAATGATGTTACTGGATAAAGTGTGAATGTTGGTGATCAGGAGAGGAGGGCGGGTGAGATCCGGAAGAGCAAGGAGACGGAAAAACACCAATAAAAGCTCTCCAAAGATTGCCTTATTGAAAGGAAAAGAAATGCAAACCGATGGAATGGGTTGCCTCCCACCAAGCACTTCTTTAACGTTGTGAGATGGACAGTCGCTCTTCAAGTTTCAGTCCATCCAAGAACCTCCTTGAAGTTGAGGTTCTTTTCGATGAGGTGGTGTCTCAAGTACGAGCTTTAGACGAGTCCATGATTGAGTGCTCGTGAACTTGATTAGAATTGAGGCTCCACCCATGAGACCTGTCCTTCTTCCTTCTCTTTGCCCCACACCATGTAATGCATCATCGATTGACTTCCATCGCATCCACCAAGGTGGATTGCCCATGGTTTGGCCTTGGCTTGGCAAAGAGTCGTAAATGGGTCCTTCTCCAAAAGTGCATTGAGGTCGGGTGGAAAGCTTTCATAGCACTTGTAACTTGTGGATGATTCATCCACCTAGACCTCATCCTCATCTTGGACGCCCTTTGCTCTTTCAACTTCATCTTCAACCTCCCTTCCTTCTTCAAAATTTGATTCCTCCCTTTGGGAACAATCAAGATCTTCCTCTTCTTCAATGCTTACTTCCTCCTCTTCAACCTCTTCATTCTCCTTCCCATTCATGTCTTCAAGCACGGTTTGGAGGGCAAGATGCCATGCAAGATCATAGAAAGGATTCTCTTGCTCCTCCACCCTCGTGACTTGATCTTTGAAGTTGTTCTCGGGAAGGGGAAAGGTGTGAAAGTCATCAATGCAACCTTCTTATTCATCCTCACCACGGGAGCTCTCCGGGGTGAGTTCCTCTTGCTCAGCACGGTTGTCATTGATCGCCCCATCAACATCTCTTGCTCTTCCAATGGTGAGAGGCGCTGGTGGGCACAAGCTCGTGCCACCTTCTCTTCAAGTGTCAAACCGGGTGGAGGGAGGGGTTGGAAATCCGTGTAGGAGCATGCTCTTTCAAAGTTCTCCATGGCAAGCTCTAATTTATAATTCACTTCGGGTTGCGGAGATCCAAGTTTGAGCACCCTTCATCGGTTTCTCGAGCAAACCGCTCCACCATGAGCTCCAATTCGCTCTTTGGATCCGGTTGTGGAGTGGCACATGCTCTTGAGGAATGTCTCATGAAAGCCTCCATTGCCAACTCCAATTTGGATGTCTCCTCGGGTTGTGGAGGGAGATCTTCTTGATATGGGAAAGATTCTTGATACCCCATTAGTATGGTTTTTCTTCTTGGAAGAGAGGTTGATCATAGAACTCGATTCATTGGCTTCCACCCTGTTGGTTACTCCATAAAGCTCCGTGGTACCCCTTTCGAGTGGTTGTGGATACCCCACATATTATGAATATGTATTCTATATTAGGGGCCCAAACAGGTCCATAAACGAGAGAACCTTTCTTACTTTATGAATGATAAATTATGAGAACCATGTATTAGTTCTTTGCTCTAGGAAATCGGAAACTTCCACCACTACTCCCAGATTTAAAAACAAAAAGTTCGTCAAGAATGAATTTTGAACATTATGTTACATTGAGTCACACACATCATTAATTTATTATGGTGTACCCAGTTAGCCCCTGCTTGTAGTACAATCATTTAATGGATAATAGACAAATACTTTTCGCTAAAAAAAAAAGAAAAAATAAAGCTCTAGAATCTTATTTTGAAATACCATGTCTGGTTATTCTTAGCGACAATACCCAACATACCATGCATGAAAGGAGTAAGCATGTGGACCTAGATTATTATTTCTTATGATAATTGTTCAAGGCAAAAGAGATTCTAGAGATGCATAAACATCATATTTC